TAGCGACGATACATTGAAGACAAGTTGATTGATAATTTATTAAATTTTGCTGGAACGCCAAAGGTAGAGCAGACATGTGTAGCTACATGTACATGTACATGTAGTTATGATTTTCTCTTCTTTTTCCCTCTCTCCCTCTCTCTCTCTATTCCAATTTATTCATGTACATGTACATCCATGTTAAACTAAAAAACATGTTTCATGAGCATGCAGCATCTATCTTAATTCTTCCACTAGGGTATTGAACTGTTAGAAGGTTCCGGTTTAATTGGCGAATGTATTAATCACATGAGACGCAGATACCAGCTGAAATTACAAGTAATTATTTTCTGGTTATTATGTCTAGTTATTAATGTAGTTATTAAGTCTATAGTTATTAATTATATTTTAGGTGAGCCAGTGTGAGAAGTTTGGTTATGGTTACATGGTGTCAGAAGTAGCATCTACCTCAACTGGAATAACCCATTTAATTAACAGTGGTAATTGCAGGGGCAGCACCCCTATAATAATGTATTAAAAATAGGGTATATGTATTATTAATAGAGTATGTACATGTATGTGTATTATCAATAGGGTATGTATATGTATTATCAATAGGGTATGTATGTGATTTGGTTGATGATCTCTGGGTATTATTGAATGGATCGATGTCTTGTGATGTGGATGTGATAAAGAGAGATCCATTTGATCCAGCAGATAGAGTCATGTACAAAGTAATACTGGAAACACTATAGACCAACTTATGATAACAGCTGCTCTCTCTCCCTCCTTCCCCCTCTTTCTTTTTCTCTCTCCCTCTCTCTCTCAGTCCATTATTAACATTCTTAATGTCATCTCATCTTATCCTGCCTTTCATAAATCACTCTTGAGTAAAGCTCCTCCCAAAACTGCCTCTACTGATGTCGTCACAGTCAGTGGCCTCTTAGAGGCACTGGTGTTTAAATATGGCGGGACTGAGGAGCCAATGACAGCTGTTAGGAATAACAATGATGCACATCTCTGTGGACTAAGGTAGAATATAATTAGAATATTATGTGACATTTTGTTTTATGTCCATACTTTTAATATTATGTACATGTGCATGCATGTTTCCCCCCCCCCCTCTCTCTCTCTCTCTCTCTCTCTCTCTCTCTCTCTCAGGATTATCAGTATACTAACCACAAGTTTGGATAGTTTTGTGTTACTTGATACTCAGTTCAGCTTGAGGGAGACCATTGCCTCATTTCAACATGCCTGCCGTTTAGAGAACAAGTGAGTACTAGGTCACGGGCCAAATTTTGCCAAAATTGAAAAAGAAAAATTTTCCCATTTTAATAATTTTTTAATGCATATACATGTACTTGTATGTTGTGTATAGAAAATTTCAATCAAAATTGTAATTTTATGAATTTTTAAGTTGCTAAAAGATTGGGTAAAAGTCCCTGTACTATAGTAGTAAATAGTACAGGGACTTTTTGGTCAAATTTAGACGCAGAAAGAATTCTAAAATTTTCTGATACCATGTGATTGTGTTTGCATTGTTAATATTATACTCTCCCCTCCCTCCCTCCCTCCAGTGAGTATATCATTGATGCTTGTTCAGTGGAGAGGAACAGACTGCTCGTGTCCTCCTCCTGCATTGGAGGACCTAAGGAAAGACTCCTCCCACCTCATACACTGACTACAGTAAACATGACTGATCTACAGAGAATGAAATAATAATTATTTCATTCTTCTGTAGATCAGTGATGTCTATGAGTATCCATTTTACGTCCGTCTTAAAGAGAAGGTTCCGGATTGTTACACACTGAAAGTGTCATATTCTCATCATAAACTAGCACTGAACATTAAGCCTTCAGCTACAATAAAGTAATAATTAATACTAGAAACATATTAAGAGGCTCCGCCCTCAGACCATAATTCCCAGTCACGCCCCCAAGCACGTACATGCATACATACATTTCTGAAATACTCCATATTAGTGGGCTTCACCCAAAAAAATTTGGAATCAAATTTGAAAAAATAGCCCCATTTTAGAGTTTAATTTCATTTTTAGTGACTTAAAATCTTGTTATATGAAACATTTGAAACAACACACTACCTTATCCACCAAAGGTAAAAATAAACTATTATAATTATTTATTATTATTTTTAAATTACAATTAAGATGTAAGTACATTGTTAGTACAGTCTCTGGCTTCTCTTGATCAAACACTACCTCAAGTCGCTGAGGAGAAAGCATCAGGAGGTTGGTTGTGATGATAATGCATGTACACTTGCATCATTTTATATGCAGTAGCTGCAATACAATATGTACATCATAGCATCTACATGATTAGCCTGTTATTGTCTTGCTTTATCCTTTCTCTGTATCTGTTCTTTCTCTCTTCCCTCCCTCCTCTCTCATCTCTCTTTAGTTGTGTCTCCTTCATCAGGGCAAGATGTTGTGCTTAATTTAATGTTAAAGTCAGTGACATGCTTTTACTAATGGGAACCAATCCTAAACTCCTCCTTTGTATTCTCTCTTCACAGTTATTCAAAGCACATTGGCCTGTCTAACATTTCAAAAGACTCCCTCTGGCAAATTTTACAAAAATTCAATTCTTTCACTACTACTCCTTCTCAAAACAGTCAGTGATTGTTCCCATGGCAACATAATAAACAAATACACATACAGAGAGAGAGAGAATGGGTGGGTAGGGAGGGTCAAGATATAATGCCCTTTTTTCTCAGTGTGGAATGGAAAACTAATCACAATAGAATCTAATAACATTTCCATTGGGTCCACACTACTTGTCCTTAATACAGAGGTGTCCTTATTTTATTTGTACTTTTGTACCAATTAGGACACTACAAAATATCCTTATTATAAAGGTGTCCTTATTTTTAAAGTTATATGTAGTGCTGTATAGTCCTTTAGTTTGTTTAAAGATTACTGATTGAAGTTGCATTTAAATTAATACAGTGATTTTACCGTTAATAGGTGCAGATTGGTTTGTTGTCATTGTCAGTTTGATATTATTACAGTCACATGATCAGTCATGTGACACTGTGAGACAGTTCCTCCGACGATTCTCTTCATCCGCCACTTCACTTTATGTCTGGAGGCAAAGAGAGAATTTAAAAGTATTGAGGGAGAGATAGAAGTTTTGTGATTATGATAATTTCTTGTTTTTTAGCCACTGCTAAACTTTGATACCAGCAAGATCCATACATTCATTCTTCACTATATCGAATTTATTATACAAGTAATTGATAAAATGTCTTATTTATTTTTAATACCACCTTTAGGCAGAGCTACCACTAGTTTATTCTGCATTTCGTCTTTCAGGATATACTCCATCACAAGTAATTCTTTTTATTGTATTTATAGTAAAAATACAGCAAAAAGAATTACTGTGATACCTTTTGCTATTATTCTTTTTTGTTTCTCCTACTCCCTCCTTCCCCCCATAAGGTGTGTCAAGACTGGCTGGGTCAGTGTTTTTTAAATTACTTGGATTGGCCTGAGATATGTCTCTACCTTATAAACTGCATATTACTAGGAGCAGATTATCAGGTCAATATAGACTAATGTACATATATACATCATGTACAATGTATAGTTAATGATAATACATGTAATGTAATGCAGTCTCCAAATGAAGAACAAAACCACTCAAATTCCCATTATGAATAGAAATATGTGAAATGTAATCTATAAGCATGTTTTTATGAAAGAAAGGCCATGATTATTTTTCACGTTCTATAGTGTTTTTAATTACACCCACCAGATCTCGTTTGTACTCCTACATGTGTACATGATATGTATCTTCTTTCATTCTTATGCAACTGAAATGGACCTATTACAGGTGGCAGGTGCAGCATGTGGGTGATTCATGTTCCCATTGCATTAACTATTGACAGTGACACTGTTATTGGACCGTTTGCATGGATCAATTGTCAATCCTCTGTAGTATGAAATTAATCAATCATTACGGCATATCATATTTATTGATCGATAAAAATTCATTTTTACTCATGATAAAGTGAATCAATGCTATATGCAGTAACAAGTATACCGTATAGTGCTTTAATTTTGCGGAGCTAGAATTTCACGGATTGATAATCAATTTTTCATGGAAATAACTTTCGCAGATTTGCAATGTTAGTGCCATGCCTTTAATGGAATTGAATATTAAAATTATCTATTATTTAGTGGACCTTTATTTTCGCAGTTGCCTGCTAACCCACGAAAACAGGGAAAGTTTTGCTCCTCAAAATTAAATTAAAGCACTATATGGTATAATTATTAACAAGAGTATGTTAAAATGCTAAATTTAGTAAAAGTAGGTTACTTTAAATCTACCTTGTGCTTCTATTTTGTTAAATTTATCATTTTATTGAAAAGATGTACATGTACATGGAACATGATGCTTAGCATGCAAAACTGCCACATGTTTCCTGACCTGTCACACATGCTCCCTTCTGTTAAGGGAATTTATCTATTGTAATTAGGAGAAAGCAATGAGTAATGAAATATTATAAATTGCTGTCACAGTAAGCATATCTTGTATGCGTCACATTATTCCAGAGCGGCATTGTCTTACTTCAGAGGGAAACAGTTGACAAAACTATTAGACAAATTAACCACTGTAGTGATCACACACCTGCTGCTATTATCAACTCGTTTAACATGTGGAATGAAAAACTGTTGGAGAGAAAGAGAGAGAGGACCACTTCTCCTATATTAATACATATTGAAACTGTATATGTGTCTTTGTATTTTTACGATGATTAGCTCTATTAATTATGTTTGCACTGCGTAAAATTAATAATTAATGCAACTTCCAAAAAAGGATTAAAAGTCATTTTATTTTGGCCCAGAGTGTGCCCTTTAGAAGGTGTATGTTATAAACTGGCACTCTGGAAGGCTGACATCATTTGATCTGTGTTTATGCTACTTTCTCTCTGATCCATGGCCTGTTGTGCTGTTACCATTGACAACGACTAATAATAAACATTAACATGGTAACTTGTAACGTCACAAGTTTTATCAGTGACAGCTGATAGACTTATAGCTTATAATCTATGGACTACAGTGGACTACAGTATATAGGATTGAATGTGCATGTACATGTATGTGTGTCTGACTATTAAACATTAGTATAAAGAAAGAGAGAGAGAGAGGAGAAGAAAGTTTCTTTCTTTATAAAGAAAGAGAGAGAGAGATGAGAAGGAGTTGAGTTGAGGAGAAGAAAGTCCCTTTCTTTATCTGATAAGGAGTTGAGATAAAAGGATGAAATACATGCATGGAATGCCTCCAGCATTCAGACGTTTGTAGCACTAATAAATTGCGCACATGCATCTGGCAGTAAAGTTAGACTAGAATTTAGAGTTTAGGGTTGTTAACATTCATAGACGTTACATGAGTAACTGCTGCATTATTTGATACCTTATATAAAGTGCATTTGAAACACGAAAGTAAGCATGGTAGGAATTTGAGGCTGGTAAGTCCTCTCACTTTCTCTCCATTGCAGAAATGGTTTGAATTTTAAATATGTGGGGGAGTCATAGATTGATTGCACATTCACTAGCTCTAGTATAGAATAGAACTTGTCGTATTGCAGTATATTTTGAATCCTTACCATTACTGATACTAGATTCTACAGTTGTAAATTTCATTGTATAGACTTTGATTAAAAGTTGCGGTAGTTGCATATAATTAATAATTGTGCTTATAATTACAATGCATCTCTTTTAGGTATATTTCTGTGTTGCTATTTTTAAGCATTTGGAGGCTAGCATATTAAAATCATGTCAGGAACACACACTACTAATATTTTTAAAGGTAAACAATGAACTTTAATACTTTAAACCAGCTGGACTCCTTGTAGGAGGAGCCATTAAGAGGATTTACAACCAAACAATCTCTTTCCTTCATGAGTCAATTGGAACTAAAGTACAGATCAAACATGCTCAAAGACTTGCAAACTGTTCAACCATAAAATCACTTGCCCTAATATAGTATCATATGATGAGCTTCTCACTGTCACTTATAATTTTATTATAATGAATATACTGTAATATTGCATCTCATGTCATTTTGCTCTAACTCCTCCTCTTCCTTAGCCTTGTTACTATAAAAATAAGTGTTTTAGCTCAGTTTTATTCAAGTGCTAACTGCAAAGAGAAATAACCAACTATAAGCAACAGTAAAAAGCATCACACACTAGACTAATTTCATCAAAGAAGAAATGGACACAGCAACTAAACTATTTATGAACAATGGGCTGACTGCAACCAAGAAAGGACTAGGAAATGCAGTAATGGAGAAGTCACTGAGGCTAGCTGCAGACAGAGGGAATTTGGACGAGGTCAAGGTCCTCATGAAAGCTGGAGCACTTATCACCAGAGATCAAGTAAGGAAGATAATGTATTTATTCTTACATTATTATCTTTTTTAAATTCTAATTTATAGAATGGACTTACTGCATTGCATAAAGCTGCCAGAAAGGGGCACAATAATGTGACACAATATCTACTGTCAACTGGGAAAGTGAAAATCAATGCTGGAGACAAAGTAAGATGACTATACATCATCATTTGATACTTTATTTATTATTGATCACTTTCTTTTCTTTACAGTATGGCTGGACTCCATTGCATTGGGCTTCATGGAATGGCCATCCATCCACAGTAGCCCAGCTATCAGAGAGGAAGACCTGCAATGTTAATGCAACTGATAAGAGTGGCTCTAATCCACTCCATTGTGCTGCTCTCCAGGGACACCATGCAGTCATTAAAGAGCTGCTATTAGCTAAATGTGATCCTAACGTACAGAGAAAGGTAAGAAATAGAGAATAGCCTTAAGAAATATCAGCTTTAAGAAAATATGATAATAGAGACATTATAGTTTTATGCAAATGATTACTGGGTTTTTTATATTTTCAGGATGGTTGGTCTCCACTTCATCTTGCTGTGTGGAACGAAAAGGAAGATATAGTTCATGAACTTCTGATTGGGAAAGCTGCAGTATCAGTGGCAACACTCAATGGAGAGGGACCACTTCATCTTGCAGCTAAAAGAGGCTACACTGGTATAGCTTTAGAGCTACTGGACTCTGGAGCTCCAATTGACATGCAGGATGAAGTAAGAAATTAAAATTTTGCTATAATAGTTAAATTTTAAAGTTTTTTTGGCATGTGTCATTAAGTAAAATTACATGTAGTTTTAGTATTAACAGCACTATTTAATTTGCTCTCTTTCTTCCTATTATAGTATGGTAACACTGCATTACATTATGCAGCTTCTAATGGCCACCGTGAAATTGTTCAGATCTTAATGAGTAATGACTGCAGAATAAACGTACGCAATAAAGAAGGAAGGACACCAATGGACCTAGCATTGTCACAAGGAAACAATGAAATAATTGGACTATTAACTGGATTAAAGGCAAGCTATGGAATTATAATTTTTATATATTAACGAGCATGGGCTGTATTAAGCTCCAAACATTACAGCATATTCTACACTTGCATGTATAGAGATATTTAATAGCAAAATGTGTACAAGAATGCTAGTTATGTGTATATTTAAAAGGTGTCTATGTATGTCACTTTACTTTTCTTTCTCTTTGTCTTTCAACAGAATTCATCTCCTTTATTATTATCATCACCAACTTCCAGTACTAGTAGTCTCACGTGCTCCTTCTGTGGTGACATTAAAGATCTCATCCAGCGCATAGAACCAAACTGTACTCTACGTCACACTGACTTAAAAACCTTCCAGTGGTCCAGCGACGAAGGAAAAACCTTTGCTGATCAGATTGATAGCTTACTCTCTTCATCAAGCCCCACTAAAGAGTGTTGTGGGGATGGACTGTGGCAGAAGAAAGCACAAGAAGCTCAGGAAGATGTCGTTTACAAATGTCAGAAGAGGATAGAAGAGATAGAGCGACAGTGTGCTCAGAAAGTGAACAAGATCGAGAGAGAATGCAGCGAGAGGCTTTTGTTGGCTAGAATGATGAGATCTGACAGCAACTTGAGCTCAGGGAGGATCCCATCTGCTCCACTGTCCAGGAGAAAGGGAGACAAACATAAACTAAGTGTAATTTCTTTGTAAAGACACTGCACAGTTTGGAACTCAACCTTACATTTTCCTGATATATTAACGAACATGATCACTTATATTGATGCATCATTCTTGTATAATAACACGTTTTTTTTAATTATTTTTATTTATGTTTTATTTTGTATATGCATTATACTTGCTGTTGTATTATAAATTCAAAGAAAAATTCAATTTTATCATTCAAATTAATTATTAACTATTCTTGTTTACACCTGGAAGTGTGAACAAGACACTTCCTGTGTCAAAAATCTATAGTGGGTTTATAAATTACAAGAAATCAATTTTATAAAAATTAATTATTTTTTTCACACCTTGTTAACACCTGGAAGTGCAAACAAGGCACTTCCTGTGTCAAATTTTTACAAAAGTCTATTGTGGGTTGTATTCAATAAATATAATTTCTTTATATCACTATAACTTTTAACAACATTAATAAATTATTATGCTGCAGTGCTTAATTTCAAAAACTAGAAACCATACACTTTTAATGAACAACATAAGTCAAGAGCATAGCAACAACAATAATAATAATAATAATAATAATTCAAAAATAATAATCAATAATATTTTACATTAACAATAAATAATTTTCTTTGTGTGATAAGTTTGTCCTTAAGTCGGTTTCATTTTCGTTTCGTTGCTTGATATAATCTTATATAATTTAGCTTGTAATAAAGACTCTCTCTTGTCAGATAAATCCAATGAATTCTAAATAAAAATATAATAAAAATACAGTAATACTACATGTAGTGGCAACAAAATTCTTAAACGTCCATTTATGAACTCACCAATACTTGCTGCAATAGCTGGTTATTAATATTAATAACTGACCACACCCCACCCTCTCTATCCTCTACTAATATGACATGAGTTAATGTACTAATGCTCCAGTATAGTCTATCGTGTCTATCAGTTCCTAGTGGCTCGTGTCTCACTGTTGAACTGCAGACTGGATTATGAACCTATCAATAATAAAGCATGTAAAATTAATAATAAAGAATGTAAAAATTAATAATAAAGAATGTAAAAATTAATAATAAAGAGTGTAAATTATTATTAATATTAAAGGTTAATTCTGCCTTCACCATGCTTTTACTAGCTGGTATTTTGCGGCCTCAAATTTTATTGCTTAAATTTTCATTAAAATAAATTTTCTTAGCTTATTAAATTTTTGTTAATACTTGAAAAGATTCTCACTTGATGAAGTTCCTGCAGTTCTTTAGTAAACTCCTCCCTCTTTAGTGCAAGCTCATCAATACTGGCTCCGCCTTCTGATAACGACTTTAAAGTCTCCCTATACATGTATCACATGATAACCACATGACTTCTAAGCATGTAATGTACGTACATGCTTTTCTGGATTAACTCGTTTTTCTTGTTTCTGAAAGCTCTTTTCTCCTCATTGTGTCTCTCACTTCCTCTCTTAATGGCATCAATGACATCAGACTAATTAATAATAATAATAATAATAATAATAATAATAATAATAATAATCATAATAATAAATTACTTACTGTGTCCAATGCTAGTGTACACAAGTAATGGAGTAACTGTATTCTTGACTCTAGCACATCAAACGATAAATTTAACATGTCCTATTAAAATACAATGATATATGTAATTAAATATCTAAAAATATATTGAAAATTGAGAATGACATTGGAGGCAGTTTTCAGGGAAAAGTCATGGGCTATAGCCTTGGGTATTTTTTAAATTTAACCATTTTCTTAAAATCACTGTAACTCGAAAAATTGAAGTCGGAATCAGCTCAAACTTTCTACATAGCATAAGGACATCAATATGTATCAGAAAATGTAATAAAAATTTGGGGTAATTTCGGAGCCATTTTTTAGAAAAAACCATGGGCTATAGCCTTGGGTATTTTTCAGAATTTTAGCATTTTTTTAAATGGCCGTAACTGAAAAAATTGAAGTCGAAATTGACTCAAACTTTCTACACAGCATAAGGACATCAATATGTATCAGAAAATGTAATAAAAATTTGGGGTGATTTTGGAGCCATTTTTTGGAAAAAAACCATGGGCTATAGCCTTGGGTATTTTTCAGAATTTTAGCGTTTTTTAAAAATGGCCATAACTAAAAAAATTGAAGTCGGAATTGACTCAAACTTTCTACACAGCATAAGGACATCAATATGTATCAGAAAATGTAATAAAAATTTGGGGCAATTTCGGAGCCATTTTTTGGGAAAAACCATGGGCTATAAAAACCATGGGCTATAGCCTTGGGTATTTTTCAGGATTTTGACGTTTTCTTAAAATGGCTGTAACTCAAAAAATTGAAGTCAGAATCAGCTCAAACTTTCTACACAGCATAAGGACATCAATATGTATCAGAAAATGTAATAAAAATTTGGGGTAATTTCGGAGCCATTTTTTAGAAAAAACCATGGGTTATAGCCTTGGGTATTTTTCAGAATTTTAGCGTTTTTTAAATGGCCGTAACTGAAAAAATTGAAGTCGGAATTGACTCAAACTTTCTACACAGCATAAGGACATCAATATGTATCAGAAAATGTAATAAAATTTGGGGTGATTTTGGAGCCATTTTTTGGAAAAAACCATGGGCTATAGCCTTGGGTATTTTTCAGAATTTTAGCGTTTTTTAAAAATGGCCATAACTAAAAAAATTGAAGTCGGAATTGACTCAAACTTTCTACACAGCATAAGGACATCAATATGTATCGGAAAATGTAATAAAAATTTGGGGTAATTTTAGAGCCATTTTTTGGAAAAAACCATGGGCTATAACCTTAAGATTTTGATGTTTTCTTAACAAGTCATGTGATAATCATGTGACATACATTCTCGCTACTAGACATGATCATTCTCTTAGCATATTCTTCAGCAGTAGTAGTAGTCCATTCTTTCTTGAAATCAGCTGCACTCTCCCCTTCTCTGTCAGAACTGATGAGCGTCAATAACGCATCAAACATGTTCGCTGGATAAACTCTTTTCCTTAACATTGTACAAAATGAATCTACAAAATAATTATATGAAATTTATTCATCAGCTTTTATTATCATCAAATTTTACATTCTCATTCTTTAGAAGATACAAGTAAAACTTAAATGTTGAAAGTAAGCCCCCAGGGGGCTCACTTTAAGAAGTAAACTACACTTCTCTAAGTGGCACATTTGAACATTCAAAAAAACTCTAGGGGGCCCACACACTTCAATTTATTAACCTTACCTAAATTAATACTGTCACTGGTTCCAAGTATTTCCTTAAAAGTGTTTAAAAACTCAGCCACAAAAATAAGCGAAGATACATACTTCCCAGCTACACCCAACTCAAGAGGAGGGTAAGAGGGAAGGGGTAGGACAGGTTGTTCCCCTACAACAGTCGAGGGGAGGGAAGGGAGAGTGATAGGACGTACTAGAACTAGTTTCTTATTTCTCTCCTCTTCCTTTCTCTTTCTCATGGCTTCCCTCAATTCCTCCATCTGCCTGATCTGTTGCTGCTTAGCTTCTTTGAGTAACAGCTTAGCTTTCCTTATTTTATCAAGTTTGAGTTGCTTCTCCTCTCTCTTCTTAGCCATGGCCTCCTGTAGCACTTTCTTCTTCTCTTCTCTCTTTCGTAAAGCTTCTTCTCTTAGCGTCTTTTGTCTCTCTCTCTTTTCCTCCAATTTCTTTGCTTTCCGTTCTCTGACCGCCATTTCTTTCTTTTCCTTTATCTCTCTCAGTTTCTCTTCTTTTTTAAGAATGTCATCATCTAGTGGTAACTTCTCTTCATCTTGTTGTACACGTACGACTCTTTTTGGTACCGGCTTCTGTCTTCTTGATCTCTTCGGAGAGAGGAGCTTTCTTGACGTCTCACAAGGTGTGAATAGTGTACGGTTTCTAAGGCAACGGGTAGGCGTGGCTTCAGAAGGAACAGAATTACCCTATAATAATACATTATTGTGTTAAATAAACTTTTAAAAACTAAATTAACACATAAATAATGTCATTATAATTTTAACTAAATATTTTAATGCTAAAACTAATTCCTAATACACTAAAACACAATTACATGTACATGTACCTCAAATGAGATTTGGTGGACATCAAAATTTTCTTTATCATCAGTCTCTTCTTCTACTGTCTCTCTCCCTGCCTCATCAATATTCATAGTTATTGAATAATTAGTATGACTAATGACGCAGTGTTCTTTGTGTGGCAGCTGCTCCGGTTTAGGTTGCGACCTGGAGGAAGGCGGCTTATACTCTTTGTCTTCTTTTTTTGAATATTTCCTCTTCTTTGATGAATTATGTGTAGCTCTGTGAGAGAAAGAGAATGAGAGAGTTGTATATGCATGAAGTGACCAGTGTGTGTGTGTCTGGAGGTGAGTATCAGTAATGTAATACCTGAGTCCTTTGATATCTGCCCTCAGCTTCACCTCAAGCAGATATCTCAGTCCTCAGGTATTACATTACTTACAAAACTTATGACAAGTAACATTTACACAATACACATACATGTATAGATTAGTTCTTACTGTATTTCAGTGCTCATGGTATGGTTAATTGGTGATTGCCATTGGAGACATTTGGCAACATCATCAGTTCCTTTTTGAAGGAACTCAGAGACGTTAGTAAAACCAGCTGTCTTTACAAGGGGAATCAATACACCTGTCGCCAACTTGCCGCTCTATAAAAAAGCAAAGAATCAATTTTATCAGACGTAAAAATAAGTTAAAATTAGACACAAAATCAATTACATTAAAAGGTAATGCACAATTGTACATGGTCATGTTCCCTTAGTCAAAATTCTCATTCTCACCTAGCCAAATGCTATATATTATAGCTCAAATTTTGGCAAGGTTTCCTAAAATTGTTTTCAGCACCTTGCAAGTATGACTAGTGCACTAAGATTTTTGAATTTAGTTAATTTTCATTAGCCTCAATATCCTATACATGTATACATGTACATGTAGCTAAGTAAGTACATGTATAAGACATGTTGCATGATGGAATGTACATGTAAGTGTGACTGTGTCTGGTGTGAAATAAATGGTGTGAAGTTTAGATAGCAGCTATACACCAATTCTTTGAAGGATAACACAAGTGTATGTAAATCAACTGTGAATAATTTTGTCATCTAACAAAAAATAATAAAAAACTACAAAATAAAAGAGTATTAATCAATAAAAAACCTACAAAGAAATTGGTAAAAAACTAACTACAAAGAAGCATCAATTAATAAAAGGTAGTAATTAAGGTACATTATTAATAGTTCAGTGTTTCTTGATGAGCTTTTTAGTCATATTTATATCTGCATGATCGGATACATTATATTTTAGACTTAGCGAGTCGTCTTCCGCCTGAATACAGCAACAACACATACGTTTACATATATGTGGTTTCTTGCATACTTCTTTTTTTTCTGCCTCTTCCCCTGGTGTATATTGGCGATATCTTCCGAGTATAAACCATGGGTAAGCCAAGAAAGCAATAAGTGTCACTAACGCTGCAACCACTTGTCCAAGTATTGTGTCTTTCAAAATAAAGTTCACAACATCATTATCATTATCAAATTCATCTTCATTTTCTTTTAGTATTACTAGAAAAAAATGCACAATGGGGAGAAAACTTACTATAGATGAAAATATGATGATTATACAATAGTTTCTTTTCTGGTTTTGAACATTATATTTGAGACATGACTCAAAGATAAAGGTGTGGATGGCAGTAATAATGCTGAGAAATAACGGTGGTATTAGCGTTATGTACCCACCAACCAGTGCTATTATTATAGCTATTGGAAGGAAAGAATAACACTGCACATCATCAGCAGTGTCCACATCAGCAGGTAAGGAACAATTGATGATAGTTGTCACATTCACTACACCATCAGAAGTGTCCACATGAAAGCAGTCAACTTTGCCACTGCATTCATCAAGGCCATACGACACATGGACAGAAAATCCAATAGAAACCAGTGCTATTACAATAACTACAGCTAATGTGTAATACAGAAGAGACCCTAAAACAAATACATCGGCAGTGTATAGCTTTCCATAAACCTTCACACAAGGTGGTTTCCTATAATCTCTTCTCTTGATAGCTGTTGATCCAAACAATCCTCTAGCACTTGCAACAACTACGGCTCTAAATGCCTTGTAGCATGTATCATCAGTGTTGCAGCACGTACGCAACAAAGATAATATAAATGTAAGGAAAAAAAACGAATATACGAATGTAAACACTGCAATTATAATTGGAGTCAATATATTAAGTGTCTGGAAATAACTGTAGAAATAATACGAATGTCCCATTTTTGGACTTGCAAATTTAACTTACAGCCTTTCTTGAGTAAAACAGTTTACAAGAAAAAACTTGCAATGACAAAAGTTGAGAGATCAGCTGTATTTATAGACCTTACAAGACAACTCTTAAAATTTACATAGTCTACTTGAATTCTTAGAATATAGTCACAGTGAGGTGAGACAATTCCAACAATCTTAGAATTTACATAGCTTTCTTTAATTCATAGAATAATTATTATCATCAATGAGGTGATGTTTGCACAAGCAATGCCAAGAATTAGCACCTCTGTAGCATGCAGTACAGCACTTTTAAACTGTATACTTATTGACTATTATTGGCCTCGCAGCTTCTTGTCAGTGGATTGTCTGGCAAAGACCATTGTACATGTACATGGTCATTGGCATCAAAAATGGCAAGGATATTTTTACATGCATACCATATAAGGGGATTTTTAGACAGGAGTTTTCTTTGGTGGTTTTGTGATGGCTAGCTTATTGGCAGATTTAATATTGGCGGTTTCTAACAATTTAATTATATCCCCACCCTTAGGTGGGGTTTTACTTAAGCGGGTGTGGTTATGCAGCTTACGCAGGCAATGTAATGTGGAGACTTTGACTGTTGTGAGTTGTATACGTGGACACCATTGTCAGTGTCACACTTACAAAATGCTACATTTGTTACTCTATTATCTAAACATGTACATGCACATCATACTATTAGCAAAATAGTTATTGAGAACTCTTTAATTAACTTTCATTATTTACCTTCTTCCTGCACAGCGAACAGTTACAATTACCGGAGCAGACAGGACATAGCCAGCTGGTGACACTCAGTGACAGCCGCTCCAATCCATAACGATTACTTAAACACTTCTCACACCTAATGAAAAGATAACCAGAAATATAAAAAATAGTTATAATTATATTTTGTATTAATAAATAATAATACCATATGGGACATTATATATGTTTATAGTATAGCAGGAAATTTTGGAGGGAGTTAAATTAATTTGACGAATTGCAAAATTTTGGTGATTGGTGGATTTTATCTTGGCCAATGGGTATCAAAATGCCAAATTCGCCAAACTTAATTCCATCCAAAATTTGCCACTATACAGTACATTTAGTTGGTCATTTTGGAGGAATAAAATTTTGGCAAATTGCACAACTGGCAGGTTTTAATTTGCACCATGTGCCATTGAGCATGCTGCACATCAAGGTTCAAAATGGCGGGTTATATTTTGGCAAATGGCTCTCTAAGCCCCTCCCAGCTATATGGTACATCATATGCGTAATTATTATAATTATAAAAGAATACATTCTAACCAGTATCTGGTGCACTTGCTGCATTTAATTCTTTTTTGTCCTGTTTTAATTTCACTGGCTCCTTTTAAGCTAAAGATTGACTGTCTACACTGATGGCAGGACTGGCTCTGTCCCCGGGGACACTGTGGCCGCTTTCTTGTCTTTTTAGGAGAAGAGGAAACGCCATTATGACTATGAGATGAAGAAGAGAGGCCAGCTTTACGCGCCATTATTGTTAATTCCCGCCTAAAGAGGCGTGGTTTCATTGCCGCCCAAACAGCCGGGAATGTAGGGTCACGTGATACCAAAATGTCTGAAGAAGTTGATCCTATTTCTACTGAACAAACAGAACAAGAGACTCAAAACAAAGAGCCTGCGTCCACTGAAACTGCTGCTGCATCCAAAGACCCTCCTCCTCCATCCACTGAAGGAGAAGATTCATCTAAAGACCCTGCTCCTCCATCCACTGAAGGAGAAGATTCATCCAAAGACCCTCCTCCTCCATCCACTGAAGGAGAAGATTCATCTAAAGATCCTGCTCCAGCATCCACTGAAGGAGAAGGTTCATCTACTGATCCTCCTCCTCCATCTACTGATCCTCCAGTTTCTGCTGCTGCTGAGGCTCCACCTCCAACAGGAGAAGCCTCTCCTAAAGTGGAAAGGCCCCAGTTGAACATGGTTGGTGTTGTCATTGGAGGAACTGGAGCTACCGGTCGTTCACTTGTCTCTTATCTACTCCGATCTAAAAAGGTATTTTAATTTCCTTTATTATTAATTAGTAGCTATTTTCTAATTATCAGGAAGAATGGAGTAAAGTAATACTATTCAGTCGTCGCACTATTGATAATGTACCTGGCGTTAATTTGGAGGAGGAGAAGAGCTCAGGAAGACTTGTTGAACACGTTGTTGGGGGTAAGACTAATTGAAATCATGTCCATACTCAGTGGGGCCCCCCTTGGATTGCCCCCTTCATCCTAATTTCCCCCCTGACCCCTTATTACTTTTAGACTTTTATTTGTACATGTACATGGACCTAAATTGACATATCAATGACAATTACTATCATGTACTTATTGAAATACATAGTAATTGTAAAGCTACATAGTACATGTAATTGATTCACTGTAGTACATGTACATAAACATGCTTATAATTACTAACTATCACACATTGTGTGGGTAGACATGTTTGCTGTTCCTGAGGATGAGATAAAGTCAAAGTGTGAAGGAGCTGATGTTTTCTTTTGCTGTCTTGGTACAACAAGAAGAGCTGCTGGATCTGCAGTAAGTCACTAAACACTGCATTGCTTTGCTTGATGTTAAGTTATAGTTTATAATAATAATGTGCTACGATTGGTAGAGAAGATACCAGTGCTTGAAATTATATTAGCATTTAGCATCCGTTATAATATATTGTCTTAAAATTTTATTTTACATGTACATGGATATAATAGGTATGATGGATGTCATAGTTTCCTTTTGTGCTATTGTTTAATATTAATTTGTATGATTTAGGAAGCATTTGTGAGAATTGATCGTGATCTTGTCGTGAGATTTGCAGAGCAAGCTAAAGCAGCTGGTATACCTCACTTCAGTTTATTGACCTCCTATGGATCAAACCCAAACAGCTTCTTCCTGTACACTAAAACTAAAGGACAAGTAAGCCATCCACTTCAGTATTAGTAGCAATGCACACATTAGTTCATACAGAAGTATAACCACCAGGAGATAGCAAGGCTTGAATGCTTTTACATGTACTTGTATAGTGTGTGCACAAAAAGTGACCAAATTAGTATTTTGCCAACTCTATTGATGCAGCAACATTAGGTACTGCCAAACCCAAGGATTTAGTACATATACATGTAGTTTGGGGCTATAGCACACTCTTAATGGTGTCACATTTTTTATTTGTTGTAGGTTGAAGAAGCAGTTCGCCAATTAAACTTTTCTTATACAACAATATTGAGACCTGGTTTGTTAGGGAGAGGAGGAGAAAGGAGACTGGCTGAGAAAATTGCTGGTATGATAACACATTTATGTAACTATTATATCAGTGATTTAGTATTAGGTCATGATTTTATATACTTACATGTACTTCTAAAACTTGATTTGTATATTCTTTATGTTGTAGTATGATTTTAGTAATAATGGTTTTAGAATCATGATTACCCTTCTATCCTTGTTCTACTCTATACAGGTATATTCTTTAAAGCATTGCCAGTGGAGACTCTTGCTCAAGCAATGGCTATAGATGCTTACCAGTATAAGGGAAGCTCTACTGGAGCCACAGCAACTGATAATGTTGTGATAATGACTAATTCAGATATATACAGGACCGCTCAAGTAATACTGTATAATAATAATAATACACTGTTTATAAAGTGATCTCTTCTTGTAGGCTGGTCAGTGAAAGAAGACTCAAATTA